CCGGGGCTGGGGGGGACGCTGCGACGTTGCTGGCGGCTGGGCCGGGGGCGTCTGGTCGGGCGCGGCGTCTGGGACGGGCACCGCAGCTGCGTCGGCGCCAACCGCTGGGGCTGCGGGCGGCAGGGCGGGCGCGGCATCCGAGTCTTCTGTCGGCGCCAGAGGGTTTGCGAAGCTGACGGACAGCACTGCGCGGGCGCAGTGGCGTGGCCAATTTCCCTTTACCCCTAGCTCCAGCTTGGCGTTCTGCTGGAGATGGCGGAGGAGCTCCCTCTTGTAGTACGTAGAGGTGGCTGTCGCTAGGTCGCCCGCCGCTTCGTCGATGAACGGGCGGATGTACTCCAGGTCGAGCGGCTGAAGGGTGACGCCAGCCCGCTCGAGCGTCTCCCGGAAGAGGGCGACGGACTCGGCCAGTGGCGCGAACGCTGCCCTTGCATCGGTGCCCGCAGTTCCGCCGGCTGCCTCGCGAGGTCGCCAAATGAGCGTCATGCATCTGCGCCGTGGTTGTAATGGGTGGGTGGGTTGAAAGGGTGGCTGGTTATTCGGCACCTGCTCTGCGGCGCATGCCGCTGCACCCCATCTGTGGCAACGTGTTACAGACAGCTGCAAGCGTTCCTGATCCAACCAGCACACGCCACATGCAGACATGGGACCCTATCAAGCAAGGAAACCAGGCATCTGTCTGCCTACAAGACAAACCCACCCACTTCCCACCCCCAACACACAGGAGACCCACCTGCTAAAAAAAAGTCTTGTCAAATGGCTGCAGGGCCGCATCAGCGTCCGCCCGGCCAGCCTGCTTCCGTCGCTCGAACTCCTCCACCATGCGGATGGCGTGGAAGGTGGCGAAGAGGCCGCCAACGGTGCGCGACTCGGAGATGACCGCAACGACGTCGTCCACGGTCGAACGCAGCGCATCCAGCACGGGCTGCTGCTGCTGCTGCTGCTGCCCCTTCTTCTTCTTCTTCTTCTCCTTCTTCTTCTTCTTCTTCAGAAGATCCCGGAAACCGTTCCAGGTCGTCTTGACGGAGGTTGTCGCGTAGTCATCAATCACCTACAGTTTGTTATAGTGCGGGCGCAGAGTGTCAATGTGTGTGTGTGTCTGGGTGTCTCGATCAGTAGAGCCACGCATGCTTGGGGACACTCCAGTGGCCCCCGGAGCCCACCCTCCAAAGTGGCACACCAAGTCCTCACACACCTTCCCGAATCGGCCTAGCGTGCCCGCCTCGCCGGGCGCCTTCCGCCACTCGTTCACCGTGGCGTCATTCTGCCACTGTTGTTCCCTCTTCTCCGCGTCGTCCAGCTTGTTGACCACGCCGAGTGGCACAGGCGGCGTCTGAGAGTCCTGCGACACAGGGCGAGAAAAAACGGGCTGGGATGTGTGTATTCGCCTATAAGTTGCAGATACCAACTTTAAGAATCACATCCTCACTCCGCCACAGCCATGCCTGTCGCACACCAATCAAATAAACCAACTCAGTCCACCCAACACAATCACCTGGCCCGCGGATGCAAGAGGTCTCGAAGTCGAGGGGGCATCATCCGCCGCCACGACATCAACGTCCATTGGGCAGAGGGTCTGTTGCGTGCGTTGGCCTGGATGCGCTGGCTCGCCGTTGTCACTGGGGTGGGGAAGTTTGGTGTGAGGGTGAGCAAGGTCCCATGGCCTGCATTGTCTCCTCTACAGCTCCGAACCCATGCACATACCCAAGTGCATGCATGTATAACGATCGACTCAACGACGCGCACCCCACGATCACAGCCATACCAAGGCTCCTCACCAGCCCCCAAAAGCGACATCCCCACACCTCAGAGGGAGGGCAGAGGCGGCCAGTGCCAGCCAATTTTGATGTATGCGGTGTTGGCGCTCCCCGGGCCGTGATTCCCTTCCCGCACAGCGCATCAGGCAGTCGCGGCGCCGGATCGCAGCCTCGGCCGTGGGCACCCAGTCCCGAGGCTGCAGCCGGTTGCCCAGCTTGGGCAGCTGTCTCGGCCTGGCCCCAGGCGCCCTGTGTAAGGAGTGGACGCGAGGGAAGTTTGCGGCTAGACCTCCATGTCATAGCACAGGGGGGGTGGCTGATGGTGATAGCTGCGCGAGACACATCTGTACTGATGTCGACGCAACCCGGTCTACCCACTTCCATCCCATCCCAACTGCAAGATAAAAGTATCACACTCATGGCTGGCTGAGGCCGTCGCCCATGGCAGCCGGGGCACGAGGGTCGCTGTAGACTGGTGACCTAGGAGTCAAATGGGCCGGCCACCCCTGCCGAATGGAGTAAAAAGGGGTGTGGATGGTCTTCAACGAGAGAAAAACCCGAAAAATGCTCTCAACACGACGGGTAGCGCAAACCCTGAAGATGTCGACGCGGCCGGATCCCGTCCACCGAATTCCAGGGCAGCCCAACTTCGCGATAGTCCTATAATACGACTTCCCAGCGCTCTCCGGGACTCACCGAGGCATTACAGTCGGATGGCATTGCGTCGAAGTGGGTTGTTGTGCGAGGGCGAGGCACTGAAAGGGTGTAGACGCGGGGCGTCGGTGTACCAGGGGTCGCCCTGGGGCCGGGAGAGGTAGCGATCACAGGGGCACTCTGCCCTCCGGTCTCAACGTACAAACGTCTTCACTCTGTCAATATGCAACGCAACCTACAGACTGTCGAGAGTAAGGCCGTTACAACGCAGGTCGGTGGGTATTTATCGCCAGGGGAGCAGGCGTCCTTCGGTCCAAGCTTGGCACGCGAGCAGGTCACATCCCATGGAGAATGGTGCTGTGGGAAGGCAAGCAAGATATCCAAGACATAGGGTTGGAGTGGACTATGGAGCGATGGCCTATCGTGGAGGGGTGGACCGAGGACAGCTCGTGCGCGCCTTATGTGATCGAGCATGAAATTTTCGATACCGCGGGTTTAAGCTCGAAATTCTCCGGACTCTCACGATATCGAACATTATATCAACCATTTCCCGGAAATTTGCCCGATGGGTAGGACTGAGCATTGAACATAAGCCCGCGCTGTG